AAAATTCCTGGGTAGGTGGTGCTACCGTTTCAGGTAATAGTCTACCCTCCTTGGCAAAAGTGGTATTCGTGCCTAGTAATTTTATAGGGTGTTAAATTAACATCTCACTTCCTCATCTATTGCATATTATTGAGTATCATGTACTTACACGGAATTGTTTCAATATTTGATGTGCCAACATAGTCATATGCTGGTCCAGCAATATCACATATGTTGGCTATTGGTTGCACACAGCACCGTTTAATATTAGAGCTCATTTTTAATAACATTCACAGACACTCGGGATTTACGTTTAATCTTTAGTATCGATTTATGGATTAAACGCCTTGTAACCTAAAAATAGCAAATCCCCACGTTTTATAAATGCGCTGTCATGTCATATCATCTATGCCCTTAAGTGAAAACTATAAGATTGTCTCTTTTATGCCCTTAAGTGGAAACTGTAAAATTGTCTCTTCATTCAATTTATCTTGGAACAAATGGTCACAGATGGCGGGTCTGCGCTCCCAAAAACATGGGTACGCGCATGGCAATATGAGTGAGCCCGCCATGGTCTTGTATGCGACTATATTTGGTCGTTGGAAAAGACCTAAAACGACCCTTTTTGGTGGAGTTAGGGATTCCTGGTTTATTGTTGGCCGATCTTAGGTAGAATCTATTTTTAGACTCGCGCAACCCGAAGAAATCGCCCTTGGGTCAACTGCCTTGCCGAAATTTAAGAAGTGACTTGGAATTTAATTGATAAGGTTTAAATTATACTCTAATGTCTCCGACAACCGCTTTTACAAGACAAACTTAGTACTAGTATATCACCAGAATCGGATCCGCGTTCTTCTGTATGGACAAGTAATTTTTTGTAAGCCGCTTAAAACTGCGGGGCAGTAGGATTACTGTTTTACCCCCCTTTAGCCCTAATAGACCCAAAAAATAACTAGGTGGTTTTGAGATAGGTTGTTCGTTAATACGTATTTAAAGCCTGGCTTCATATATGTTTTGTATAGTTGTTTTATACTTTTGATGCATAATATAAATCTCAGAAATGTGTTTTTTTTCTGGGAGACTGAGAAAATTATTTATTAACATTTTTTTTTAAATATGTAGTCATACTTTATCAAGAAAAGTAAAAACGAATCAGTAGTGGTTGGCGGCAGTGGCTTTTTAGAACAATACATGCACAGTCTATTTCCTGAATTAAAAACAAGAAATAAATCATTAAAATTCTTAATTTAATGAAAAACGAAGTTGGCATAGCGTTTTCAAATTCAGGCAATTTTAATTCCAAACTTGAAAATCGTAAGGCGTCTGCGCCACTTTAGCTTAAGAGCCTAATCACCACCAGTCAACTACTGAACGCCACAGAAGCGCTGCTAAAGCGGTGGTCCGGCCTTGGTTGTGCCCGTGTGAATACCTCCATGTAAATCAATATACCTTCAAAACGCGCTTCTTAGCAGCGCAACTGAGAAACGCTGCGGAGTGGCCTGTGTGAAATGGCTCTAATACTTTGGTAGCTATTTTGACTCTCAATTTTTCTCTTGTCCAATATAGATATCTTAATTAAATTTTTGTTGCTAAATAAAGACCTTCTTCATTTTGTTTGTCTACAAGCTGGACCAAAAAGTTCCAGGCTAAAAGCTTACAAATTAAATCATTCATATACTTTGCAACACGACAAATTTCACAGACAGGGGCAAATAAAAAAAAACAGCTTTAATGAAAACGGTTTAATTATAACAAGGATTTATAATGACAATAATTTCAATTTTGGAAAGATAAAAATCCTAAAGGTTTCCCTTAAGCTGGTATTTTGGGCGGTCGTGTGCAAAGCCCGAAGAGTGGATTCGTTGAAGCGCCACTAGCTTTCGCAGCAAAGCTTGAACGCTCAGCGGTGGTAAGCTGCCAACATACTTGCCTAAGACCCGACCGATATAATTTATGATTAGAAAAAAAACTAATAAGAAACACGTGGTTTGATGACTAAGCGCCTGCTAACCGTTTGATCTACTAGGAATACTCAAAATATCTTTGCTAATACAATTAATGAATGAAAGAACTAAACATAAATAAAGTGAAAGTTTGATTGGCTATACAGAACAATGCGAATAATAGATAAATAATAAATGGTTCTATACTCGCCCCAAACACAAGTTCCGTGTATTGTTCCCTACAATTTCCAGTTTTTTTTCATCCAGACTGTCCCTGGCCCTTCAATAAACAATTTCAGTGATTATCATCCCCAGTCGGGAACTAGGAGCCAGTTGATGATCTAGTGCTAGGGGATTGCAGCAGGTGAGAAAATCTGCAACAAAATGGCGACTCATTTTAGTCGGTGGTCATTATAGTTTTAACAAAGCTTTGTAATGGCACTCTGGGAAAATTGTGAAATTGAGAACTACGTCCCGTTCGTGGCACCACTGTAACCGGACGTTCCCTAATTTGAAATAAAAAAAAATCAAAAAGGGGGTGACTTTGTCACCTCAGAGCCTTGTACCCCCCGGGCGTTTGCCGTCATCATTGGGAACAAAGCAGAGGATTGGGACGAGCAATAAGGGAATGAGGGTGAAAGAAGACACGAAACAACGGTGATTGCTTATTCGCAGAATGCTCGAGACCCACGGATGCGGGAAGGGATTGCGTATTAACTACCTATTGCAGGTAGGTGGTTTGTAGCTGAAGCTGTCGTCCTTCTGTCGCTGCGCTGCGGTAACATATTTTCATTATCTGCACGCTGGCCTTCACGTTGCTACACTGAGCGTAGCAAATCGTCACCTGCGATGCGTCAACGCCACCAAATCATGATTGAGAGTTTCTTCTGGTATAATTCGAAGCTTCTGCAACAATGAAAATATATAGTTGCACAGTGTAATGGCACTCCGGGAAATTGGAAATTTGGGAACTACCTCCCTGCTCGGGCGTCATTTTTGCAATGGCGTTCCGGGAAAATGGTGAAATAGGGAACTACGTCCCTCCTCGAACGCCATTTTTGTTATGGCGTTCCGGGAAAGAAGATGATGAGTAATGAAGACACCTGGGGTTCTGGTATAAGGACAAGTTCAGACTTGACAAGGTTTTCCGGTCGGTTTTCTCGGGCGCCAGCCATCAGGATTTCTGTGGTGATGGCCCCACAGCAAGGCTAGTCTATACAGTGGCAACAGAAAAACCCAGAGGTCAATACGCAGGGGGTCAAAATTAAACACAGTTAATCAACAAATGGTCTATTTGGCATAATAAATTAAAATGAACATGATTGCTAATGTCCCAAACAAGGCAAGCGCTTTTACATTTCACAAAGCAAAATAAGATGGATGGCCGTAACCAAACATTCTACATTTAACAAAAAAGAAATATTTCCGGCGTTAAACTATACAAAATCAAAACTAAAATAAAGGGGCATACGGGGCGGTCGCCACGATGTGAAGTATGAGAAACCGGCGGTGGTGAATGGTCGTGTATTACGCAATCATACTTGGTACCGGCAAGCAATGAATGCTATGCGCTATGATTGTGGGAGATTTTATTCGCAATGAATTCGATATCAGCAAACGTTCAGAGATCGGGAGGGACGTGGAGTTTTTGCGTATGTTATATTTATGAGTAGTACAAGTCTTGCATTTATTTATAGAGTTTTTAACTACGTTTACAAATAAGGTCGACATCGACCAAAGTTGTAATATTAAAAACATAAAATACCACAATTTCAAAAGAAAACCAATTTATTGCCCCAAAATAATTTTTGGAGGCGAATATTTCTAGTTCCAGCTTCGCTTTTTATAATTCGGACTTACTTTTCTACAATGTCTGATTTTCCAACGAATTTACTTGTATTTCTGAATTATTTTTGTAAATTTTGTCGCTTCTGGCATCTTCTTTTTTCAATAATTCCTATTTTTTAATAACTTGTTTTTTTGTTCCTTGTATTCTGTTCTCTTCCTTTTGTAACTAGTTTGTAACACCTTGCTTTTCCGAGACCGAAACATTTTTGGAGTGTATTTTGACCAATCTACAAGTCATTAGTTATATAGACTGAGTCAGCTGATACTTTTTCATATTTATATTTATTGCATGTAAAAATGTTACTAGAGATTTTGGTACAGTTTTCAGTAAAGACAAATTACATATAAAATACTCACCATATTTCTTTTACAAAAAATTCAGTTCCAATTCTGGGATGGGGGTTGCCGATGCAGAAGAAAGTTAATTGTCTACTACTTACGTATTTATTGTCATAGTCATGCGACCTTCAGTCAGATAGAACACATATCATACATACAAAGAAAAACACGCACTAAACATTTCTACTACATAGTATTGCACAAAACTTTGACTTTTACATTTGTTGGGTGGTTTTTTGGTGTTTTATTTAATTTTTGAGCGTTTAGGGTTATCATATTTTATTTTGACTGGTTAGTTAAATGCCAAATTTTGCACATCAGGTTTTTTGATCATTGCAAATTTTTTTTGCAGGTTATCATTTGCTGAATTTTTTTATATAATTTGGTTCCTAAAAATTAGCTTTTCTAAGAAATAGAAAAGTGTGTTATATACATTGTGTGTCCAAAAATATCGTCTTATCGCAATTTTCACTACTGTATTTAATACTTTTTATGGTACGTAATTTTTAACTAGTGGACTAGGCTCAGGCTACAAAATGTAGTAAGTAATGAGTATCACACATTCATTAAGTCTTTTTGAAATAATGCCAGATTCACAAGTTTGTGTTTTTGGCACTTTTTAAACCTTTTAATTTTTTGTATTTCTTAAAATTAATCTTTTGTAAAAAGTTCTGTACTCAGTTGATTAGTTTATAGTCATAATGGGTTATGTTTATCATTCATCATTGTATCAGTACTTTAAACAGATTAATTAAGATTTTTAATTTTTTTCAGGAATTTTTTTACAATTTTTAATTTTCTTTGGATCATTTTTTAAATATATTTTTTTAAGTGTCCTATTGTCACCTGGCAAAAAGCGTTTTAGTTGATTGAAATTTCCATCGACCCGAGCCAATCCAGCGATTATTTACACTTTAGCCCTATGGAGATTAAATACCTGTTTTTCTCGCATTGATCGTCTTCGCTACTGCTGGTTTCATTTCATGCGTCGGGTTCGGGACGATTTTACCGGTGGGGTCGTCCGTCCGGGCAGCCACACCGACAGCAGGGCCGGTAAGGGGGCAGGCTGCACTGCAGTCCTATTGAGGCGTAGCTTCGGGACTGACGGCTTTATGTCCGTACCCGGTCCGGTACATTGGACATGGGTGATGGCCGGCGAGTCGTGGGGGTGCACCCACACTCTCTGGGCAGTGGCCCCACGCGCCCACATCGGGACCAAAACAGAACGGGCTTGCCGGTGCACTTGCGTCTGGAGTGCCGGGATGGCCACAGCCCAACCTGATCGGCAGGTCTAGGTCCGGATTCGGGTGGCGTGAAGGCGTTCTGGATGGCTCAGTGGGC